CGCTGAAGGAGCAAATTTTCAACTAGTTTAAGGTATAAATGTTCTTTTAAACAGTTTAATAATTTATATTTATGATGTTTTCATCTAATATTTAACTTTTAAAATGCAGAGTAAGTGTGTATGGGAAGACTGCTATAGCGAGAAAGTGGCTGTAAATTTTTATCTTAAAGCCCGCAAGAGATTGGCGGATCATTTCTCGGATGGTAGAAAGAAGAACAAGAGGCCTGACTGGTGTCTGCAGCATTTATGGGATGATTGTTTAAGGCAATGGCAGACCGAGCAATTCTTACAAAAGAGCGAACTAGGGAAGAAAGCTCGCTCATCCGAGAAGGGAGGCTCCTTGCACACTGGGGGTGCTATCAACATATGGACAATAAGAAGAAGGTTCGTAATTGCTTAAAGTATTACGTCTTTACTTTTCTAAGTATATTAATTCTATTTATTAATCAAATTAATTTGTTTCCAGGAAAAGAAGTCCAATGCACCATAATGAGCTATTCAAGAAGACACATATTTTAAAGAAGAAGAAAAAGGGGGATGCAGATAGGTAGGTCGAGGACCGGGCAAAGACTACATATGTAAGCTTTTAATTTTTCTTAAGTGTTATAATTTACTTTTATAATATTTTTTATATACTAGTTTAATTTAAAATAACATAGGGTCGCTACCAAAGTAACGCGGAGGACTTCATTCGTAGTCAGCCAGCTGATAAATCGGACGAGCCAACCCAACCTTCAAACGAGGATGTTGAAAGAATATGGTTGGAGGTTGTTGGCGGTCCAAAAAGGGGAAGCTATACGGGCTTCCTGAGAAAATATTTCATCGCTATAAGTGTGGCATGCAAGGAATAAGGACTTCCTCACACAGAGAGACACTTAATAGGGAGAGCCTCTCGGCTATGCAGGAGACAGTGACAAGGCTTACGTCCGATCTAGAAGCGGCCAAGGAAAGAGAAAGGTTTAGAGATGTTCAATTCCTTGGTATGCAAGCTCAGATCATAACTCTCCTTTCTACTGGAGCTTTTCCGTTGCCCCGATCTCGTGAGTCCTCGCTAGAAACTCGACCTCCACGTGATCGTTCCAGGAATTGCTTAAAGTATTACGTCTTTACTTTTCTAAGTATATTAATTATATTTATTAATCAAATTAATTTGTTTCCAGGAAAAGAAGTCCAATGCACCATAATGAGCTATTCAAGAAGACGCATATTTTAAAGAAGAAGAAAGAGGGGGATGCAGATAGATGGGTCGAGGACCGGGAAAAGACTACATATGTAAGCTTTCAATTTTTCTTAAGTGTTATAATTTACTTTTATAATATTTTTTATATACTAATTTAATTTAAAATAACATAGGGTCGCTACCAAAGTAACGCGGAGGACTTCATTCGTAGTCAGCCAGCTGATAAATCGGACGAGCCAACCCAACCTTCGAACGAGGATGTTGAAAGAATATGGTTGGAGGTTGTTGGCGGTCTAAAAAAGGGAAGCTATACGGGCTTCCTGAGAAAAAATTTCATCGCTATAAGTGTGACATGCAAGGAATAAGGACTTCCTCACACAGAGAGACACTTAATAGGGAGAGACTCTCAGCTATGCATGAGACAGTGACAAGGCTTACGTCCGATCTAGAAGCGGCCAAGGAAAGAGAAAGGCTTACAGATGTTCAATTCCTTGGTATGCAAGCTCAGATCATAACTCTCATTTTTACTGGAGCTTTTCCGTTGCCCCGATCTCGTGAGTCCTCACTAGAGACTCGACCTCCACGTGATTGTTCCTCCCGTCCTCCCCGTGATCGTTCTTCCGATCCTCCACAAGACCGTTCTCTATACCGTCTTGTAGATGAAAGTTCATCAGATAGTGATGATGTTGTAGAAAATACCCGTTGACAAATACTTTGATATACTTTGAACTAGACTAATAGAACTAGTTTTGAATTAAATTGAATAATTTTGAACTTGTTGTACTTACTTAGTTTTTGCTTTGTTTTGAATTGTGATGTTTAATTGAACTTTGTTAGTGTTAAAGTATTATTTGGATGTTTGGCTGGATTTGTGGTGAATTAGGAGTTGTTTGTGGAGAATTGAGGGTTATTTGATGTGAATTTAGGGTTATTTGGTGTGAATTGGGGGTATTGGTATACTGTTTTTTATTTGGCAGATGGTGTAGCTACCAAAATATGCATTTTCTGCCAAAATTAATCCCAGAAAACCGACCGATCTTGACCGGTAACTAATAAAAAAAATTTAAATTGCAAAATACCAACCAATGTTGGTTGGTTGATGCACATTGAATTCTCAGAAATTCAACATTACCAACCAACTTTGGTCGGTAAGTTGGCTGCCATGTCCAGATTAACGACCAATGTCGATTGGTATTATTAAATTTTAATTATTTATATAAAAAAAAAAATTCTAGTACCGACCAACGTTGGCCGGTATATAAAATATTATAGATTAATTTATTTTTCATTACCGACCAAAGTTGGTCGGTAAATAAAATTATTAAATTTAGAACACCGATCAACGTTGCTCGGTAAAATTAAATTATTAAAATAACATTCCGACCAATATTGATCGGTAATTCAAATAAATTATCAGATGGTCGTGTAGAGCATACCGACAGAAGTTGGTCGGTAATTTCCGACCGACTTTGGTCGGTATGCTCTACCGACCTTCAAAATACTGACCACACGTAAATGGTCTCGTTTTGGACAGTTATTGGCCATTACCGACCAATTTTGGTACGTTTTTCAAACGGTTTTACGCGAATTTTTAGTAGTGGGAGTCTTGGAGCAACTTTAAAGTTATCTTTGTATGACTTATAAGTCACTGGTTCAAGCCGTGGAATAAACCACTAATAGTTGCATCAGGGTACGTTGCTTATTGAGTATTATATGAAGGACTGTTTCAACAAATTTTATTTTAATTTGAAAAAGTCTTTGGGGCTTACGCCTCACTACAAAAATGTGCCCCGAACGCCCCGGCTTTACGCCCCGAATTGTTGGGCGTACGTCTCTTGAGACTTTCACCCCACACCATCACCTCTGGACATTTTTAGCGCGCCTCGCTCCAGGGCTCGCCCCAATAACGCCTTTTAAAACACTGTCCACTAGCGACCTAATGTTTTAAAGAAGTAACTTGCTAAAAGCGCCTACTAACTTGCTAAAAATTATAAAATCGACCCAAACTTTCCACCATGTATAAATCGGCCCAAAATTCTACTCAAATGTTTAATATATCTACACACCAAAAAAGGACCAAAAAAGTACGTCGCTGCCTGTATGGGCGACCTACCGTTAACCAAAAAATATAACTTACTAAAGGTGCCCACTAATAACTTGCAAGTTTCAAAATTCTTTTCCCAAAATATGTTTGTTTATAAATTTTATTCAAGTTTTGACAGATTTTAAAAATAAAGTTTTCAAATCTCAAAATTAGCTCTAGACCTAATTTTTGCCCAAAATATTACTGTTGAATTTTTGTAATAATTTTAAAAATTACCCTAAACTTTTATATTTTATAAAAAAAAACTCACCATCTTTTATGAATTAATTAATCCACCAGCTAATTACTATTATTTTATTTTGGACTGATGAATTTAGTAATATTATTATAATTTGACGAATTATAGTGGCTAATAATTGTGTTATTAGCAGTTGATATTAAAATATCAGGTTATGATTTTAGGATAGTGTATTATTTAATTCATTATAAAAATAATAATTTTATGCGAAACTTATCTATGTTCAGCACTATGGTTTGTGATAATGATAATGAATGACATTCGATGAAGGTTATGTATACACAGGATTAACAAGTTTGTTTGTTTGGAATTGTTAGGTATTTTTTATAGTTTTTAAAATTTACGGGTACACGTCACATTTTTTTTTTTAAAAGTGAAATATATTTTGAAAAATTATGTCCAAACAAATTTTCATCTTCAAACCAAACTTCATTCAATTCAGATTTTTTAAAATAATTTTAGAAATCTATAGCCAAATATTAGCTAAAATTCTATTCAAATATTTAAAATCTCCACACACCAAAAAAAAAAAAGGAAAAAGTAGGTTGCGCTGTATAGGCGGCCTACTGAAAAAAATAATTTGCTAAAAATGCCCCCTAACTTACTAAAAATGTTATACCACCCAACTTGCTAAAAGACTAGAGATGTATGGAAATTCATGTTGAGGAATTAGTAATATCTTCACTTATATACAACAACAATAACAACAACCCAATATAATCCACTAATAAAATTTGAGAAGGGTAGTGTGTACACAGACCTTACCCCTACCCTGAGATAGAAAGATTATTTCCGATAGACTCTCGGCTCTCTCCCTCCAAGAACTCTTCACCTTACTCTTGAGGTGACTCGAACTCACAACCTATTGATTGAAAGTAGAGGGATAGAGCAACCTACTCTTGTCATCTTATAAAGACAAAAAATGGCGCCACTTTAATCAACGTGTGGGATATAAAATTTTGTAAGTTTTATGCATTTAGGATATAGTACAAGTCACTAATAGGGTGTTAAAGCTGTGAATTTGCCTCATAGCTTACTTCTCTTCTTCCTCTCAAAATTGTTCCGGGAGAAATTCAAATTTTGCAAGATATGTATTGCTTTAGCTCCTATTTGGATATAGATTCCCGTTCAAATTTATAAAAAAAAAATATTAATCGTTCATGAAATTTAATTAGTTTTTAAAAAAGATTTGAAGAAAAATTTTCAAGTTCCAAAAACTGATTTGGACCAATTTTTACATGAAAAATTTAATTTCGCAAAACTTTAATATTTTTTCAACTAAAATATATGTTCAAATATAATTTCGACTTCCAAAAATTATTTTTCAATACAATTTCAAAAGCTTATTTTTTATGATTTCAATCAAATCTATAATTAAACGCTAGCTTAGACTTTGTAAAATTTTAAAGGAATTCTACGCAAAGCTATACAGCAAAATAGTTGGGACATAAACTAGTCTATTTTTGCTAACATCAGTATGATTTATGATTTGAGTAATTAACTATTGTATCACATACACCGCATGCAAGCTACATGAAATAAAGTAAAAACAAACAGATCAAGCCGGTAATTATAATCAGATTAAGACCATAGCAAGTTTACAAAACATTATTAACTAATACTACTGTCTTTATCATGAGCAGGAAAAGGTAAAAAGTGAATTAATTCTTTCTTTTCCTCCCAAGGTTTTATCACCAATTCAGCATCAAACGTTTTCGGAATTCCCGAGGAAACAATTGCGGAGATTTTAAGGTAATATTTGATCCCAGAAACAACCTGTGTTTCTGCCTCTAAAACCTCAGCAAAGCTCAAAAACTCAATATTGTCCTCTTGCAATATCTGTTTGTACTTCCTCAAACTCCGATTGTACTCTTCTACACAGTATTTTCCCAAGTCTTGAATTTTTTTGTTTGTTTTTACATCCTTGATTGGAGTTCTTCCCCCAACTTTTCGTCCAAGAACATTTGATGGGGTTGAAGAAAATGTTGCTATTATGAAGAGAGTGGAGAGAAGGGAAATGATTTTTGTGAATTTCGTCATATTTTGATGATTGAAATTTGATGTGCTTATATTTTGGAGAAGGGGGTCAGTGGAAGGATTTATATAGGGTTTTACATAGTGGTAGAGAGATGTTAGCTTCTATAAAACTTTTTGTGTATACACAATAACTTTTTAAGAAAATATTACTTTCCGTTTTAGTTTATGTGATAACGTTCGATTATACGAAATTTAATAAAGAATGAAAGAATTTTGTAATCTAAGACAAGATTTGTATAAAAATAAAAAATAAAAAATAAAAAATTTAAAATTAAATTATTTTTGACTATTCAAAAATATTACGTTTTAATAGATTAAAAAATATTTATACTTAAATTGAGATGGAAGGAGGAATAATTTAAACGTACAATAAGCCCTGTTGAAAATAATACAAAATAAATATTCTTTCAGTTTCATTTTATGTTATCTTTCTTTTAGAATATTATCAATAATACATGCTTTTATATAGCTAAATGTAGAATTGAGAATCATAAGATCTAAATGTACGTTTATGATGTCTCATCTATTTTGTTTAAATTTTCAAAGCCAGATAAACATTATCATATCATATATTATAAAATATAAAAAGAGAAGCCCTGTTATATTAAAACCTGAAAATAAATAGTTTTGTTTTTTAATTCAAACTTATATACATATCGATAACAGTAGGACCAACATTGCAGGGAGGGACACGTAATGAAATGAAAGGGATGGTGGCAACACCTACGGGATGCCGCGTTCTCTGATACACTGGGAAAGAAGACAAACAATCTGCGTTATTGTTTTGTTTGTTTGTTAGTAGGTCACTAGATAATCTTGAAAGAGGATAATGTTAAACCAATCAAAAGGAAATTACCAATATATGTTACATACATTTTCTGTCTTTTCGTTAAGATTACATTTAGTTTGAAAGGACAAAAATAAAAGCACAGTATATATATATATATATAAACCCGTAAATACAATTAGAAAACTTATGGTTTTTTTTCATACTGAAGTAGATCATTTGTAGCAATTACGATTCGAATTACCGGTCGTGAGAATCCTCTTAAGACGAATGAAATTCCTTATTTCCACAGCCTAAAAATCCCTTCGTTGAATGCAGAGAATATCAAATCCTAGTTGTCTCGTCTTATGAAAAAACTTCCTTTTCAACATCTAAAGTGATACTAATATAAGTTAGCACTAAGAATTTTAAAAGAGAACTAGCTAATTAGTTAACGGGCTAATTAATATCTCTTATAACCTATTAATTTTTTAAATAAAATATACTTTTTCTATTCACTTTTACTTGTCCATTATGGACTTTGTACATTCCTTAAAAAATAAATAAAATATATAATTAATTATAATATTCATATTATTTGATATATATTTTTAATAAATTTTAAAAAATAATTTAAAATAAATAATTAATACAGTGAGTATAATAAAAAAAATTATCTATTTTCGAAATGACAAAACAAAACAAATATGTGAAAGACGAGAATGGTTGGCGCCTTGTGAATCCGCATAAAGCCAGAGGTCTAGGAATCAGTGACATGCAATACCAAAAAATGTCGTCATTTTTGGCCTGCCACTTTCATACATATCCCTTCAATTGTTTGATGGTAAATTTAACCCGTTCCTACTAACAAAAAAAAATTATATATTCTCTTATATTAGAAGCAAGAGTTTACCTGTGTCATCAACATGCATGCCTGGCGGATGCACATGTGGAGTTATTATTGTATCTTCAATTTTATTTCAAATGTAAATGTGTACAAAATATGGGCCCCATCAGACTTTGCACGGCGCACGTACTTATCATACAAGTGGGCCCACCTACATATTTTCTCATATTACTCCTCATTTACTTCTGCAACCTGCTAGCCCAACTGTAGTTTTGCTTATGTTTTTCATTCTTACTTTTTTCGTGGGTTATATCTTGATTTTAAAAAGTGTATAAAACACATAAGAAAATTAGAAAAAATAGTATACTTAGAGCTAACAAGTTTAATTCTAGAGTCTAATAAAACAGAAAAAGCACATAAAGAAATAATATATTATAGCTAACCAATTTTATGTAATAATATAAATAAAAAATTATTAAACTAATTAACAAAATTATTGTATAACAAAAAGGCAATATTAAGCAGCTTTTCGCAGGTAATAATTTAGACAAAAAAATTTAAAATGATCTAATGAATCTAATTTAGAACAAAAATATAAAAATATTTTATTTAATATAGAGTAAACATATCAGTCCAGCAATTTAAAAATACTAAGACCGATAAAGTACAAATAACAAATAAATTAGTAATTGTTTTAAGAAGAAAAAAAGAGTAAAACAAGAACTCTTTATGAACATGTTTTTTCTCTCTAGATATCTCATTTCTTAAGGTTTAATCTTCAAGATTTACGTTTAGAATTTATGAGGATCAAAACTTTTTTAAAAAAAGGTAAAACAAAAGCTCCCTTTTAAAGTTCCCTTCTAATATTTTCCTTCTTATTTTGAAAGTTCCCTTCTTGTATATATTTTGTTTGAAATTTAGAGGATGAAAAATACAATCATCATCTGACGCTCTTCGTTAGTTGGTTTGCTACTTATTTATAAAAAAATCAATAAATCTATTTAGTTTATATATTGAAACCATCATATTTGGTGCACATCAATATATATAATGCTTAAAACTGAAAATAACTTAGAAAGACCAAAGCTTAAATCAAAATACTTCAAAATACGTATTACTCTTAGTTAATAAGTTAATGATTTAAAAGACCTCATTAACTATATATCACCTCTTTTGAATATCATATTAAAATATTCCATGGCTAAAGTACCTCCTATTCGATATTATATGTGCATTAGGTGTACTCTCCAAAAATACTAAAAATTTTGCCAAACGATGCTACACACGTTAATTAAAAAAAATTACATGTCATTAAATATGAGTAAAAAATAAATTTGAATTTTTAGGTTAATATCACTTTTACTTAAAAATTAAGGGTAAAAAAAGTAAAAAGGTAAAAAGAGGGGACAATCATTTTTTCTCCGATTCGAGGAGAGCCATTACTGCTAATCCTCAACAAACATTTTTGTTCATCCTCATGAAGATATTGATTTTCAAATATCTTAAAGGAAATCAAAGAAAAATGTGTTCCAGAAGGTCTCTTGATTAAATTAGATCTTTTTACGCGAGAAGAAATCGGATGAAATCCCACACCACATTCAAGATTTGTTATACAGAGTGAGTAAAGAGAAATAAGGTGGGTAAAAAAGAAGTCTAATTATAAAAAAAACCTTGAAGAGAAGTAAAACGAAATAGTAAATTAAATTTATCATCTGGAAGGAAAAAAAGACTGAAAAGATATTTGGAAAAAACTACACAATATAGCTACTCTAAAAAGTACTAGCCGCCAAATATATAATTTCTCTATTTTGAGGTATAATATACATATTTATACATAATTAGTTATTTTTTGTGTATTTGACTAGCAAATATAATTATTTTTGGACGACCGACCAAATGTGTAACTTGCCTAAGATATTTTGACAATGATTAGAATGTGAGAAAAACTGCATTGATAAACCTTTACATTCTTTATAATTCACATAACTTTTATATTTAAAATAATACTACTGTTTATATTATGGTAATTGATGGTTGTTTGTTTGTTTTTCTATCTATGTCACTCTTATATACGGTACGAGTACTATTTTGTATCTCCATTAGTAGGCTTCTCAAATTAAAATATACTCTGTTTAAAAAAAGAGACTTTTAGAATTTATAGTCTAAATTATACCAAAAATATTTGTCAGCTATAAAAAGTGCCATTATTTTGGACAAACTGAAAAAGAAAAAAAACGTATGCCAAATAAAATGAGACAGAAATACTAATTGCAATAGTTGATTTCTGTTTTGTTTCATAAAGTTTACAGTATTCTTCTAATCATTATGTAACTATAGCTTAAGCATAGTTATCTTCTCTTTTTTGAAAGTCTTTTCAGAAATTACCCTTAGCAGGGGTGGATGTAGCTGTAGTGATAATTTCATTCGAAGTCATAACTTTCGATATATAGTATAAAATATATATAAAAACATATTAAAATTTCAAAAAATATTAGATCTGAACCCATAATTTTACCAATTACAAGAAATGATACAATCTTCATAACTTGTAATAATTGAAAAAAATAAAGCCAAATACCCTGAAAATGAGAATGTGTCATTCATATTTTCAGGTCTTACAAAAACTTTAATAGCAAATTATCACAAAATTTATTTATAATGTCTAAATTAGACCAATAATTTAAAACAAATACAGATAGAAACAAATATAAACTCACGGATTACGTAAGTACTATTTAGAAAAGTACCTAGGACCACTCAATTTCTTCTTTTTTCCTTAATTAGTGTGAGATCAAATCTAGCTGTTCTATATTCTAATTGAAATTCGAGTAAATACAACGTTTAGCAAGTTTTAAATATAATAAATTTTACTCAATATGCAATATTTTTGATAGATCATACAAATGGGGCTTGCCAACTTTATATTTTATTCTTTATCTAACACTGTAGTCAATTGATTGAAGAGAAATACCATTAACTGCAGTGTTAGATAATGGTTTGTGTTCCTCGGAACTTTGGCCAGAGAGAAACACCACAACAAAAAATGCTAATGACAACTGAAGAAAAAAATTCCAGAATTCTTCAAAGCTTTTTAATTTTTTTTAGAATCATTAATTAATGGGAAACTTGCAAATTTACCGCTTTAAAATTTATGATGTAAACATAAATTGTTTCTGAAATCAAATACATCCCTTGGCTTCACATTTCCATACCCAATAAAAGAAATTGTTGACCAAAATAATCTAAAATATTTATTTAGAATGGATAATAATTTGCCCATACATAAAAAGAAAATAATAAATGTCAACAAATGTAAAATATAAAGATTGAAACATATATGAAAATGGAAGAAGAAATAATTTTTTAACCTTACGACTTTCTATGTAAGAGGCTAAGAAGAAAATATAAAAGTGCAGGAAAACTACCTTTTGATATATATATATTTTTC